TGGAGTATATGAAAGGGAAATTTTTTTGCCTAAGTTGAAATATATATATATATATATATATATATATATATATATATATATACGGAAACTTTCAGAAATGATTACCTTTTAATCCATTATGTATTTATATTTTGTAGTTTTGAGTGTATTTGAATACACCGTTCAACTGTAATTTTTTATTTATTTTTTCGCGTTTATTGAGTATAATATTTAGTTGTACTTATATTCAACCTTATTTGATGTTGCAAGGTTGAACGTATTTGAATGTACTAGTCTTAATGTACGTGCGTTGCGTGTGTATCTCATATCAATGAATATAAATTTTATAAAAATTACATAGATATTATTGACAAACGTCTGAATTATTAAATAAAAATTATAAAAAATCCAAATTCCTGAAAAACAATGATGAATGTTAATCACGTTTATCTAATTCAATAGAAGAAGATCTCAACTCTACAAATACCTTAGAATTTGAACTTTCATTGATTTAGGTTCTCACGCCATTCTTTCTACGTAAATTCGGTCATTATCATGACAAAGAGATTCCATATGCTAATAAACGTTGTTACTTCCTTTAGCTCAATATTGATGGGTAATACCAGCGGCCATATATCGACACTACGAGAAACTACAAAATTCAATGACAACACTTTTGAAAGATATCTTATTAATATTTTACATTAAAAAATAGCTTAAAATAGCTAACATTTTAACATTACCAACCTTAAATATTTAAATTTTTAGGAATCTGAAAATAGCCGTGAGCTTCTGAGTATGATTTCTATAAAATTTGCTTTAAGTTTTCGCCCCTGGTATCTTGAAGTGGAACACTTCTAATATCACCTGAATTATTATTATTATGGGTGAAATAATAATTCCTAATAAGTAATCTTAGTGGAATTACATTCTCAAAAAATTAGGAGTTCCTATATAGTTCAAATAAGAAAAAAAAATTAATAGTCAAACTTCAATTAATTTCAACAACACAAATATTAGAAAATATTAATAAAATGATAATTTTGTATAATGTAAAATTTGTTTTAAATGATAAAAAAAGTCAATCAATTTTACTTTGAAATTTCGGGCTTTTATGATATTCTAGATTGATTGAAGAAGACAAAACTAATAGAAAAGTGGAACATTATTTTCCTTTATATTTAGTAGTTTTTACTTTTAGTCTCACATTATTTATCACACAATTAAAATAAATTAATTTAATTTGTTGCAAATATTAAATGAAGTAAAATTGTTCTTAAAAAATTACTCACTGATATTAGAAAATTATTTTGTTCACCATAAATACAATTTGATTACCATTAGGATTTCACAATTTAATTTGTTGCAAATATTAAATGAAGTAGAATTGTTCTTAAAAAATTACTCACTGATATTAAACAATTATTTTGTTCACCATAAATACAATTTGATTACCATTAGGTTTTCACTTTCCAAAGGCCATGTACAAATCAAACGAACTCTATAAATTTTGAATTACTGTTCCAAATAATTGACTTTTTAAGCATTTATTTAAGGTAATAGTTTAATTGATTTTGAAGTCCTAAATTTTAGGTACCTAGTATAAATAAAGAAAGATTTAATAACGAAATTTCAACGAATTTATAGATCCTAAATTAGAAAATAATTAAATGACTATTTTATCTAGTATGAACTCTATTTTTAAATGGTAAAAAAGCGAACGACATTTTACTAAGGGGCTTTGTACTTTTAATATAGTATATAGATTTACACTAAAAAATGATGAAATGAAGAATACAGTCAAATTCGGTCAAATCTCCGGCGAAAATACAAAATATACTGTATTTAGAAAAAAAAGAATACAAACATACCCGGTAGGATCTCCGACAAAATATAAAAAAACACTGTATTTACACTAAAAATGAAGAATACATTCAAATACTTTTAAAAGTACAATGTATTTACACTAAAAATAAAGAATACAGTCAAATCCTGTCAAATCTCCAATGAGAATACAAAATACACTATATTTAAAAAATAGAAAATACAATAAAATACCGAGGATCTCCGGCGAAAATACAAACTAAACTTTAGATCTCTCACGAAATACAAAATAACATGTATTTATACAATAATTTTCTAGCGTGAAAGGCAATGGAGGAGAAAGAGGCGGCTCTTTTTTTCGGCGTAAAAAGAAGTGGTGGAAAAATGAGTTTTCAGCCAGACGAATACACTCAGATGTGAGATACAAATAAGGAGAAGAATCCATGAATTCTGGTATCTCCGTCAGATCTAAATCTAGTGACGCCTCCGATCTTCCTCCTCCATCGTTTTCGCCGCCGGTAATGGATTAATAGCAACTTCGTAATTTCATATTTGAATCTGATGGCCGGTGATGACGATGTTCAAGGGTGATTTGCAGTGAAGAGGGTAGTGATTTGGTGAAGGTAGCTGTTTGGTTGGGCTCCGATAGAGCTCCGCCGGAGAAGATGACCGCCGGCCTTGCCGAGGGCAAAGAGAGAGGGAAAAAGGAAAGTGAGTTGAGGGAGAACAGATAGAGGAGGTTGAGGGAAAATATTGATATAGTGGAATAACTGTATTTGGTATATCTATAATGGATAAATTGAAAATTCATTGTAGCTATAAAAATTAATTTAATTAAAAGATAATAATTGTAAGGCCCCGTAAAATTTTACCTAAAACCCGGGGTTTCGTGGTGCCAAGATAGATTTATGTGTTGATGGTGCCGCGCTACGGACTTTTTGGGTTGAACAGTGCGTTGGAGAGTTGAAGAAATTTTTTGGCAGTACGTGGCTTTCTTGGGTCCATTTTGCGATCGCAGAACTGATATGCGAACCGCAGATCTGCAGCAGAATGAAGCAGAAACTTGGGCTAATTTTAGGACCATTATGCGGCCGCATAGTCATTTCGCGGGCCGCACAATCCATCACAGATTCAACTTAAAAATTTCGGAGGGGAGTTCTGCGGCACATTATGCGACCGCAAAATTGGTCTGCGGACCGCAGACCTGTCGTGGAGTGAAGCAGAAATGCCTAGTTCTGGAGGGCCATTATGTGGTCCATTTTGCGGACCGCAAAACCGTTATGTGGTCGCATATGCGACCGCAGATCTGCATTGGGGCTTCATTTTTCTAATTTTTTTTAACCAGACCCTATTTCGATATATAGTCGTTGAAGACCATTGTAAGGTAAAAATCTTATATTTTGAGAGTGGGGGAAATGCTCTAGAGTAAGAAGGGGTTCCTAACTAATTGTTCATTCTTGCTCGAGGCTTGAAGAATTCACAAGAAAACTCACTAGGTCTTCATCCTAGGGGTAAGATTTTACACCCTAACCCTCAATTTCGAAATTTGACTAAAAATAGGTAATAAGGCAAGCAAATTCTTGGGTATGAGAGCCTATCTATGCATGCATGTACAATCATGAGTGGAAAGGTAGTTGAGCCCGAATGGATAAACCTTGGGTTGTGGGGTGAGGGAAATCCACCATAGGAGAAGCTAGAAAATATAATGCCACCTAGTGTTTGATAAAATGCTCAAATGAGCTGGAACCATGAAATCCTTCCAAATTTATGTTCAATTTTGATATATTTCTAAATAGATCGAAGTGGCTAAGATTTGAACATTATAGTAATTTAAGGAAGCTCAAGGCGAGGTATGTTGGTTAAACTCCTCTTTTAGAATCGAACCCCATGATGTCCTTGTAAGTCCCGAGTCGTTCATTATAAATTGGTTTATTCCGAATAAGCCTTGTGTCAAAAGATATATGTTCAATATGTATTCCAAATGTTCTTGTTATGTTATGTTATTATTTGAAAATGTGTTCGAAGTACGGGTTGCATATCTAAATGTTATTATTTTAAGTCGTGATTCAAATGAAAGCTATGATGCCAAATTGTGTAAGAAATCCTAATGTGCTTAACATTCTTATTTGCTCACATGTGGACTTAAAGTCTTGAATAGAAATATTTGTTGTTGACGATCCTTTGATGATGTTTGAAAGTGAAAATGTAAGCATGAAATATGAAATACGGCCAACGTGCCAAGAATGATATTATATTTTGGGGCCATTAGTGCCAATGGAACAAAGAGGCGTGTAAAGGATTATGGAGTGAGTGGTAAATTCCTCTAAATAATAAATATTTTGGGAGTATCATTTAGTTACCTAGGAAGGGTAGGTCTAAATAACCTAACCCCGAAACTACACGTGTCGGTGTAGGAGTGATTGAGGGGTAAACCCCCTTGTTAATGTGATGAGGTTGTTTCCCTTTGTATGGGATGAGATTGATGTGTTGAGATGTTTCCCCTTAAATGGGATGAGATTATTGCTAGCGAGATGTGATGTGATGTCGATCCACACGGCACTGTGGTGAGACGGCTTAGACGATCGGGCTGATATCGAACGCCATGCCGCGCACATAGTGGTATTGTGAGTGGATGTCTCGGGGTGAAACGGCTTAGCCGGTCCGGCTGAGATCGGACCCCGTGCTAAAAACACGATGGTGCATCGATGCTAAAGATCTCCCAACTTAAAAATATTGAAACTTACTTGAAATTTTCCTCTCCCCTAATATGACACCTTATAACTATTTGAGTCTCTTATTGATTTCATGTTTTCTTCTCCGTTTACTGTTACTCGTTCTATTGAGAGGGTGTTTAGTTTTACATATTAGTACTATTCCATATGTACTAACGTCCCTTATGTGTGTGTGTAGGGGGGGCGCTTCATCTTTAATGGATGCAGGTGGTTCTATAGCAGGTGGTGTTGATCCGTGATAGCAGCACACCCTCTCCTTGGCTGACTTGGTGAGCCCCACTTCATTTCGGGGCCCTTTATCTCTTGTCCCTAGTACATAGTATTTTAGGGTATAATCGGGGCCTTGTTGCCGGCACTGTCATAACACTCTTTTGTTTCTGTTAGAGGCTCCACAGACATAGTGTGGGTTGTATT